GAACGCACGAGATGTTTGATTCAGGAGTTACAGATGGAAGTGACATATCCGCATTTGGTTGCCGGAGATTGGAGCGCACGCGCGGGGGCAGAGAACGGAGCAGATGGGCATCATTTCGGACGATATTTGGTCGCACGGATTTCAGTGGCAGGATGGGGGATAATTGTTCACTTGATCAGAACGACGCAGTTGAGCAGAACGAAGAGCCGCTTCAGCATCAGAAACAGAGGAGCATGGCAGCGCAGAAATGGGAATTGGCATGATATTTGTTTCGTATAAAAAACGTGCACGCGTTGGGGCTGAAGAGCAGATCCACCAGGTGGCAGTTGGCGCCTGCAGATCAAATTTCAGAAGAACACCGTATCCGAGTCAAACACGAACGCGGCAACGGAGAGAAGAAGAAGTTGAGGGTGCGTAAGTTTCAGGCAGTTCAAGCTACACAGAGGAACGACAACCATAATGGTCGACCATTGCTGCGTCGAACAACAGGGAAGTCAGAAGAGGCGAGCAGTTTCGGCAGCAGCATCAGGATTTAATAACAGAGAAGTTGGATCAACTACGACCACCAACGACCCGAACGACACCGGCTAAGCCCGAACAAGTCCGATCGGAAAGAATGGAGACGGAGGGGGGGTCGAGCTCATGCATATTATATTTCAACCAGTGGGAAGGCGAATGGATCGAGATGGTCAGATGTTGCAGGAGAAGCAGTTGGTTGGGGCGTGGCGTTGGCGAAGAAGGGATAGACTGCGGAATATTGCGGGCCAGTAGTTCATGGCGATATGCACGGGGGGCGCCCTGGAGCTACAGGGGATCAACGCGAGGGAGCCACGCGCGACTCTGAGTGGATGCAGGGAGCCAAATGAGAGGGATCGGAGAGGACAGGGAGGATCAGAGGAGGAACTCGCGTCATTGTCTCCAGCGGCGGCGCTGCATGACTCAGAATGCGCAGCTATGATGGCCACGGGCAGATGGAAGCCTCAGAGTAGCATTGAGTTCGCTAGGCAAGTGGGGACATGAGTGCGTCGGGATCACTCCACGCGAGCGGCGTCGTTCAAGCGCGCGGCGGGGCGCAGCGGGGCGACCGGCCATGAAGCAACAGACAGAGCAACACATGGACGGCGAGCGGGGCAGAGACGAAATCTTCGGCAGGGCGAAGAAGCGAGTTCGGGAACGACGTGGACGAGGCGCATCACACATAGAAACCGATCGCTGGAGGACATCAGTTTCGAGGGGACGTTGCAGATGGACGAGGATGAGGAGGAAGCATGGGCGATGCACTCTGAAGAACACACCGAGGAGCCCACGAGGGGCCCCGAGGGCCCGATCCGGGACCAGAGGAAGGAGGGGGGGGAGGCAGAACAATCGCGAGATGAAAACGGGAGCGCCGTTTTGGGGTTCGGGGAGCTGGGTTTCGCGGGGCCAGATCTCGAGGGCAGCAGGAGAAAGCGCCGAAGCGATGGCGGGCCAGGGAAGGAGGGACAAGCTGGGGGCACCACACACACACAGGAGGCGATGGAACACATTGCGGAGAAGACGAAATGAATCGCTGAACTGCGGGAGCAGAGACGAAATACTCAGTGGTCGAGCAAATGCAAGGAAATACGCCATCACATGTTCTTACGTAGGAAGCAGCTGAATGAATTCAAGAAGGAGGCTAGGGAGTTTTGGGCCAATTGCTTGATCGAGGAGCTCCAGAACGCGGCTGCCCGAGATGATCTGGGACATTTCTACGAGCTGCTAGAAAATATCGGGGTGCATGCGCGTGCAAAGAGTAGAGAGGCCAGGGGCCGTTCTCACCGGAGGAAGCGGCGGAGCGCGCGAAGACGGCGACGGGGCGCGACGAGGGGGGGGCAAGCAGGGGGGGCATCGAATCGGGAAGCCAATTACCGAGACACATCGTCGATCGGACGATCCTTCGGGTGCTGATGAGACGACTCATGCGACTGATGGCATGAAAGATGGCATGCCGAACCAAAATGAGGCATCGATGTCCTCACGTGGGGAGGGGGAAATGGCCGACCGAGGTTATCAAATTGATAAAGGGGAATTTGGCGCCAGGGCCCATAATATTGGGAAGCATCGGTCAGCGACGCGGTGGGGGAATTACTTCATATGCAAGAGGATATGTCTAAAGTGGAGAACTACATATGTGGCCATCATTAGCCGAATCATAGCGAAAGTTAGTGCGGCCAGAGTTCGGATGCACTGCGAGGAAAACAACTTGCGGCCCAATGCGCAGCGGGGATTTCGACCGCATCGATCGACGACGGGGCCAATCTGAATTCCGAGGGTCGCGCTGGAATTATTGGCGGGGGCCCAACCTCGCAGCACCTGGGCGGCCCCATTGAAAGATCCATCGTGCGCGGTGGCGGACGCGAGGAAACCGCGTCCTAGAGTGGGGGAAAGAAGTAGCATTCCTGCGAGATGCGCTCGCGCGATGATCGGCTTCCACAGGATTTCAGAATGCGCGGTCCGCGCGGCGGGGGGCGAGGGCGAGCCGCTCATGCTGCCGCGCGGGCTAAGGGGGGGATGCCCCAGCAGCACCGGCGAGTTCAGTCTGCATCGCGCGCGCCAAGCACAGTTTCTCTCAGAGTTCAAGGCGAGGTTCTTAGAGGCTGGTTCTGCGGGCGGCTTGCAGCGAAGGGCGGGGGCTTCGGGGGCGGAGGGGGGCGTGCTCATCGCGAGACTGCTAGCCTCGGGGAATCAGTTTCGCTTGGAGCCCCTCTCCGCTGACGACGCGAACACAATTATTCACGCGTCGGACAGGGCGGAGGCGGGGGGGGCTCTTGGAGGGCGAAGGCTGGGGGACAAGAGGTGGCATCTGAGAAATACGAGCGACTGCACGTGGGACAAATGAAGGAGGACGAGAAGGATTTGTTTGAAAAGGAGGTCCGGCCCTTGGGAGCCCGGGCACAAATCAGTGGGGAACACGACAGGGGCGCCCAGGAGCATGCGTCTAGGGCTGGGCTGGCGTGGAGGAAAGTGCACAAACAACTACCTCGTTGGGGTCTGGGGCCGAAAAAACAGACCGGGCAATTGAAGTCACGCAAGGCCGCTCTGCGGTGCAGATGCGAGGCCCGCAGCTTCACTTCGCAGCAGCTCAACGCATGCGAGGCGTTTTGGAACTGGGTCGTAAGTGGGATCAGTTGGCAGTAGACCAGGGCCGCGCATGGGGGGCAGATCGCGATGCAAGGTCTTCGTGCCAAATTCGAGCTCGACAGTATCCGAGTATACGTAGGACAGCGCCAACTAGAATTTCTAGGCCACGTCGCACGGATGCCAACACATTGGTTGGAATTGCAGGTGTTGTTTGGTTGGCTGCCCGACATCAGTGGATGCCCAAGAGATATGAGGAACGAGGCGCGACCTTCCACGCGTTGCCAGTGTGCGAGGAGGGCGGGGGGAGCAATGAAAGTGGCCAAGGATGGAGGAGACTCTAGGTACTTTCGCGAGCGGGCTCGGCAGAACGCGGCGGGGGACCGCGCAGCCAGGCGCCGCATTGTTCGCGAGCGGGCCAAGGCAGAGCGAGCTAAAGACGCCGGAAGTTTTCAAAAGCAAAACATGCCCCACGAGGAAAACACGACCAGATTGTGGCCCGCTAGCAGGCCCGATTGGAGGCGAAGACAGGCATTTCTTTGAATCAGCAGGGCCAGGCGCAGCGCCCTCATTGCGCACGGGGCGGCATTTCAGATTCCTGGCCGTCGAGGCGCTCGGCGCGACGGATTTTGCCGCGCGCTGTTCGGAACGCAGAGCAACGACGCAAGATCGCGGTTGCTCGTCGACGCAGGGAGGAAAAATAAGAAGCGAGCGCCCGGAGGAGAGATCAAGTGGCAGGACCAGCACAAACAACAGCAGATGCGGATGAAGCACGTTTGCGCCGTACTCGAAGAGAGTTCGAGCGTCAAGCACGCGCGCCTAGAGTTGGCTCGACGCCGGCGTTCCTCGCCCCAACAGAAGACTGGTCGGCAAACGACGCGATGCCCCTGCAGCAGGTAATTATCCCCGGGCCCTTCTTGCAGAGGTTCCCCGCCGGGCTCGGCGGAAACGCGCTCGTCGCGCGAGCCCCCCACCACCGGGGGCGCAAGGAAAAGGCGTCGCACTGGCACGGGCGCAGAAGAGGAAGGAAGCGAGACCCACGCGGGCCCGAACGAGGCGGCACCCACGTCGATCAGGCACGCGCTCAAGAGGAAAGGGGAAGGCCAGGTGAACATCGCAGCTCAGCAGTCGAATACCAAGCAGCAGACTGAGGAGCAAAGGAAGAAGGGACAGGAGGAGGAGACGAGCACGGGGAGAGCGGCCACAAGAGGTACCAGAGGCATATCTGTATATATATATATATATATATATATATATATATATATATACATATATATATATATATATATATACACGTATCCGTCGGGAGGGTGGACGACAGCGACAGGCAAGGCCATCATTGGCCAGTGCCTGAAGGATGAACCAACTCCAACTGCAGCTTTTGAATGTCAATGTCGTGATTTTGAGTGTCGGGTGTGCTCGAATTGCTACCGATGTCGGGAAAGTGGCTGCTGATTTGGCGGCAAATGTCAGGGGCGGGGCTGCGCGCTGCGTCCCACGCGCGCCAGGGGAGTCGGAGGTGGCAAAGATGGTTCTCGCAAGGAGAGGATATACTCCGCCGGCCATCACGGGTCTGCAGAGGCCCCCATCGCCCTGTCTCAGCAGATCCCTCGAAGTGCCAATGGCGCAGGGAACCAACAGCGAGCATCAGCAACGCAGCAGCGCATGAGCGCAATTGCGTGAACATGCCGTATGCTATGTGGACAACACGTACACGTCCCCATTGTTGCACGCTTCTCCAGCCAAAGAAATGAGTCAAGAAACCACAGTGGGAATTGCGCGCACAGAAGAGAGATTTTGGTTTACAGTTGAATGCGCAGCGATGGCGCGTCACGGCGGAGGATGCAGCGCAATTGCAACGCGTGTTTGGGCTGGTCGAGGGCTCCCCTTCCAGACTGCAGGAAGAATTGGAAATTGCTGGATCGGGAGAGGCGCGTGGACTGGTGCCACGCGGAGGTGCGAGAGCTCGCCATGGAGGAGAGAGAGAAAGAGAGCTTTCTTGAGTTTGAGTTGTGATATTCTTACCATGCGTTATGGATCATGGAATAGCTGGTGGTCATTACGCATGTCTTGGGAGTTTTGGCTGCATGAGTGAATGTCGCAGTGCTGTTATCCATGGTGGTCGATATGTCGCATGCGAATGAGTGGGGCGGTGTGGTTACATGGCAGTCTATGCCGGTGATATTTCTGGCCTGGGGCAGCGGGTTCTGTTTTTGCGCGCACTTGAGCAGAGTATCGAAAGCATGTGGAGACGATTGGAAATGGGCGCGGACGCGGCGGCAGAGGCGGCCAAGAAGAGGGCCGCAACAAGAGGCGCAGTCGATGAGAAGAGGAAGGGCAAAACAACAGAGAAATAATGCGAAGATGCAGATGTACTTCGGGCACTCACGAGGGACTACGTGTCCCACAAGACAGATGTCAAACAGGCGATTGTCGCCAAACGTGCGCGCGAAAATTCCAGTCCGACCTCGAGACAGATTATCGATCAGCTGATGCAGACTTGGGAAGACGAGAAGCCGGAGGTGAGCGACGAGAACACGAAGAAGAAGTTATTATCTGCGCACCCGTCAGGATGCCAACGCAAACAGACATGGAGCTTCACCTGCACGATGGGACTGGCAAAGGACGATCACTAAGAGTCGAACCCCGAGGTCGCGAAGATGGCGGAGTGGCGTCAGAAGTTACCAGAAGCAGAGAGAGAGAGAGAGAGAGAGATCGTGGCAGCAGCGCCCAAACCAAAGTTCAACACGCCAAAGGAAGCACGCAACTGGAAGCTCGATTGGGTCATCGGCGGCTTTTGCCTGGACAACCACAGGGTCGCAGTCCACGAGCTGATCATCAACATGGCCAAGAAGGACAGCGTCGCGATCGCGTTCTCGACGCAGGTGCCGCGGCCAGAGAGCGAGGCGGCATTGTGGGGCTGGTTGAAGAACCAGCCGCGGCAGTCAGCTCGGGGCGTTCGCCCCCCTCCTCTTCTGGGCCAAACTTATCCCGCCGGGCAGAGAGGGGGGGGGGGGGCCGCGATGTCATGGGCCGCCGTGGGCTGCGCATCGCGGCCAGGGGGGAGAAGTTCTGGCGCGAAGGTGCTCTGCGTTTGAGATGTTATTGAGTTGGATTGGAGCGTTGGTACAGGTTCTTATATGGCGGGCCCAAGGCGCCCCTCGTCGAATTCATCGCGCATGAGTTTTGACTGAGGACGGCGTGCAGTGGATAAGGAGTTTGGTAGGACATCTGATGTGCATGCCCAACCACATCCTTTACAACCAGGCCTTCGGTTTCGAGCGTTTCACCCAGGGACGTCTTGGCTTCGGAGATGAGAAAGGGCCCCCAGATGTTTTCGGATGCACAAGCAGGGCGGAGGAGTCGTTGGTGCAGGTTTGGCCGTGCACCTTGGAGCTTTCTGGGGCCATGGCGCTGCATGCGGCGCTCTGGGGGTGTCTCCCTGGACCTAAGCAGTCGGTTCCAACAGGGGAGTTGTTCGGTCTGTTCACAGCCCTCCAAGGAAGGGATGGCCACATCCTATTCTAACGCTTGCGGAGGCTGGTATGCTGACCGACCCCAGGACACGAAGGGGGAGGATCGTGATTTCTGGTTCTTGATAGGGCAAGAGCCTCGGCAGCGCGCATTTGTCCAGTGCATGGTCATTTTGTTACTTGCGCCAGGAGGCTAGGGATATTGTTGCCGGTCGCCCCCTGGCCATCCTTGTTGTCGGCAACACAGCTGCAGTCCGTTTCGCGGGAGGGGGTGCTAAGATGTGCAGGGGGTCCGAGAGTGAGACAGCTCGTGTTGCCCAAGTCGAGCGAATGGCATGTTTCGTTCGGATGCGTATGCTGGCGAGCACCGCGCAGCGTCTCGAAACTAAGTTGGTTTTGTCTTGCTAGGAGCTTCAGAAGGGGGTTATGTCTCGCTAGGAGCCTCAGAGGGCCCGTGTTAGGCACCCTGGTCCCAAGCGCCCTGCTCTTCAGGTTTGCTTTAGTCGAGGCTCGACCTCCCAGGCTGCTCGTCGAATCTGGCTGGTTTCGCCTCGTTTTCAGCTGCGAACGATAGACGGTGGTGTTTATGATGTCCCACATGCGCATAGGGCGCACCTGTGGGGAGTGGGTTCATAATCGTCACAATCTTAAGTTTTAGTCTGGGCTCGGTATTGGATGTTGCGGAACATGTGGAAGCTTTACGGCCCAACAGTTGACCAAGCTCGAGATCCGTGTCCGTTTCGTGCAGAGGATACTCGAAGAGAGCACGTCTTTAAGATCGAAAAGTTGGTCCAAGGCTTACAGCAAAGCCGAGCAAGCCAGAAGGTCCCACCGATCCCTTCGAGTCTTTCCGTAACCGGCATGGTCGCAACATTTGTAACTCCGTAATTCCTCCCCTGCATCCTGCCCCCCGCCTTCTCCCTGCTCCCCTTTCCTCCTGCCCTCCTCCTCCCCTTCCCTCCCCCTCCCTCCCCCCCCCCGCCTCCGCCGACCTCCACCAGGGGTCGGGCCTCACGAGCCGCCGCCCGCCGCGGCCTCCTCCACGCCACACCCCCGCCTGGGCCGCCAGCGCCGAGTGGCCGAGCCCGACGAGCTCGTCGCCGCCCCCGCTCGCGGCGGCCCTCCCCCCGAGAGTCTGGCGCCCCGATTGTTGTCGAGCCAGGCGCTGATGCCCGGTTTCGGGCCCCGGGGCCCTCGCAGATCGATGCGGCTCGAGGAGTGGCCCCCGGAAGAGTTGATTTGGGGCTCTGGTCGTGATTTGTTGCGGCGTTGCCATGATTTTGCGCCGTCGAATTTCGGAGTCACTAGGAGGAGGAGGAGGAGGAGGAGGAGGAGGAGGAGGAGGAGGAGGAGCGAGGAGCGAGGAGGAGAGCAGGAGCAGGAGCAGGAGGAGGAGGAGGAGGAGGAAGGAGGAGAGGAGGAGGAGGAGGGGGGAGGAGGAGGAGGAGGAGGAGGAGGAGGAGGAGGAGGAGGAGGAGGAGGAGGAGAGGAGGAGGAGGAGGAGGAGGAGGAGGAGGAGGAGGAGAGGGAGGAGGAGGAGGAGGGAGGAGAGGAGAGGAGGAGGAGGAGGAGGAGGAGGAGGAGGAGGAGGAGAGAGGAGGAGGGAGGAGGAGGAGGAGGAGGGAGGAGGAGGGAGGATGGAGGAGGGAGGAGGAGAGAGGAGGAGGAGAGGAGAGGAGGGGGAGGAGGAGGAGGAGGAGGAGGAGGGAGGAGAGGAGGAGGAGGAGTGGAGGAGGAGGAGAGGAGGGGGGGGAGAGGAGAGAGGAGGAGGAGGAGGAGGAGGAGGAGGAGGAGAAGGGAGGAGAGAGGAGGAGGAGAGGGAGGAGGAGGAGGAGGAGTGAGAGGAGGTGGAGGAGGGAGGGAGGAGGGAGGAGGAGGAGGAGGCCGAGGAGGAGGAGGAGGAGTGCCACCGCGAGCGGGCATGCTGCCCCCGGAGCGGTACCTCGGGGCGCCTGCCCGGCCCGCTGCCGCTCGGCAGCGCCTGCCGTGCCGCGCCTTCTCCGCGGAGGCGCGACGGCCCAACCGCCTCGGGCCCTCGGGGCCTCCTGCCCGACGGGTGGCCGACTGCATGCCCACAGTCTGCGTGTGCAGTTGTACGTCGCAGCGCGGCAGGGTCAGTCCGCACGCGCGCGTGGCAGGCCTGGAGGCGGCGGTGCGGATCGGACGCACGAGGAAAGAAAGGTTGAGGCGGCCGCGGATGGGGAGGAGGGGGAGTGAGCGCCCCTCTTTCCACGCAGCGGGACCGCAGTCCGTTTGTACATGCGTGCGTTCGTTTTTTCGGGCATCGTGAAGCCAACATGCTTCCAGCGCTCCGGCGCCACCACCGTGCTTTTCTGCAGCCGTCCTCTGGGACGATTGTCGGCGTCCCGTCCTGTCGATGGTCCGGCCTGAGGGGTGCGCGCGCACATGTCCCGCCGGCACTGCTGCCGTTGCCACTGCTCTGCCCACGAAGGCGCTGCCCCCTTCACGCGCTGCCGCGGCCCATCCTCACTGGTCCCCGCGCGCTCGCCTCGACGGGCACCCCACCAGCGCCGCAGAGCCCCCTGGGGTTCTGCAGGGCTCCCTGCGCTCCTGCCACAGCCAGCCGTCTCCGTGGCGCCCGAGAGCCGGCGCGTCGCTCCGACGGCCCCGCCCACAGTGCTCGAGCTGAACTTGACGACGCAGGCCGACCTCCACCCCGCGCCTCCTCCTCCTCCTCCTCCACCCCCGCCTCCTCCTCTTCCTCCACCCCCGCCTCCACCGCCGCCTCCGCCTCCTCCTCCCTCCTCCTCCTCCTCCTCCTCCTCCTCCTCCTCTCCTCCTCCCTCCTCCTCCTCCTGCCTATGCCTTCCCCCTCCTCCTCCTCCTTCTCCTCCTCCTCCTGCTCCTCCTCCTCCTCCTCCTCCTCCTCCTCCTCCTACTCCTCCACCTCCTCCTCCTCGCGGGCTCGGGAAAGCAGTCTCGGGCTCGGTGAGCCGCTCGCATGAGCGACGAAAGAAAGCGGGGTCGACTGCGCCGACATTGGCGCGTAATCTGCCCGCGTAAGGTCGCGCGTAAACGCTCTCGCCTCCAGTGTGGCGTGTCGCGCTGGCGGCCCGCGTCAGCCACCGCGTGAGGTCGCGACGCCATCTCGCGCAAGACCCGTTTTTGGTCGTCGCTCACATGTCAGAGAGGCCTTTCGCTGAAATGACCGTTGGCTTCTGGCGCGCGGCATTCCGAGGGCGCAGGAGGCTCCAAACCCGATACACGAAAAAGCGATCCTTCGCTTGATCTTCGGCGCAGGCCCACTGATCCCCCCAGCACTGGCTAGCTCGCTTAGGTTTTGTCCTCCCGCGGCCCCTTGAAGCCGTGCACCGAAGGTCACTCTTGCTAAGCGCCAACCTTGCGCGAAGCATGCAAGGCGTTGCTGTCGTGTCGCACGCAACGAGCGGCAAGCCACGCACCAAAGGCCACCTCTGCGCGTGTAGTCAAGACGCAGTAAGGAGGACCACTTCGGGCTCAGGAGGGGCCCCGGTTTTCAGGCCATTTCTCAGATTCAGGTCGGGGGACGTACTCGTGGCCGAGGCACGCCGTGGCCAGAAAAGCGCATCCGTTCAGCATTCGGCTTTGATTGTTGCAGCGCGATGATTGTAGCCGACAGTGGCGCAAGCCCCCTGTCAGCAGCGGCAGCTCCGACCTCGACCTCTCCTCGCGGCTCCGACGGTCTCCCTGTCAGTGCCGACAGTGCTTGGCCGACTTCGGCCCCACGCCCACCCCTTGGCGAGCGCCCTGAGCGCCCACCAGCAGTTCCGGCCATCCCCACCCGTTTCCTAGATGTCGATGCTTTTTCAGACATTCGCCAGGAATGAAGAGGGTCTTGAGGGAAACGGGTCCTTACAGTTTCTGGCTGTGTTCAGGTTCCCGTGGGCCCTCAACGGGCATTGGGACCATCAAAAAACAATTCGGGATGAATTGTTAGGCAAAGCCCTGGGATCCAGCACCTTTTCGTTAGAACCCCTTTTCTTCATGTCAAAGCTACGCAGCACGAGTCTGTTGAGTTCGCATCTCCACATCCTTGGTGGCGCGGTGCCTAGCTCCCCACCACACTCGCATGCGTTTGAGCTTTCCCGTGGAATGCGAAGTTACCGATGCGGTGGTGCTCACGCTGGCTGAAATCCTCATGTCTTTGGGGGGCCACCATGCGGCCCCTGCTACCATGTCGAGTGAAAAATTCGGCGACGGCAAATCTGGCGACAGCGACCTCGACCAATTTCGAGGAGCGTTTGCCACCGCTTCCGTGAGCGGCTGGCTGACGGGCACTCTTCAAGTCGATGGCTCCACCCCTACCCCTTACCCCCCTGATCCTCCTATTCCTCCGGATGCTTCCCCCTCGTCCTGATGTTCCTCCCCCTTCTCCTCCTCCTCCTTCTCCTCCTCCTCCTCCTCCTTCTCCTCCTCCTCCTCCCTTCTCCCTTCTCCTCCTCCTCCTCCCGCACGACCTCCCCGCCGCGGCCGCTGTGGGGGGACGTGCGTATGGAGGTTCTGGCCCGGGTCGTGTTTTGAGCGAGCGGGGGGTCCGTCCCCCCGTGGCCGCGTCGTGGCGGGGCCCCCTGATTCATGCACCGTTATCATTACCATTACCATAACTCTGCTCGTACCCCTCCCCATCCCCTCCCTCTTACTCCCCTCCTTCTTGTTCCTCTTCCCCCTTGCCTGTCTCCAGCGGTACCGCAGGCGTTCTGCGACAGCGTGGAGCGGTATTTCAGGGAGCCGCCCTTCGGCGAAGGAGGAGGAGGAGGAGGAGGAGGAGGAGGAGGGGAAGGAGGAGGGAAAGGAGGAGGAGAAGGAGGAGGAAGAGGAGGACCAATGCAAGCCCGAGACCAATCAACGATGCTGCAATAATCCTTCACTCTAGGTTCACTCTGCGCAGGCCCCTACAATAATGTATGCTCACTCCAGGAGGGGCCCCATTGAGACGACAATTTGAGAATCCTGAATTGTGCCAAGACGTCATCATGGAGATTGCAACGCCGCGAATCAGAGTAATCGCTGTGTCTGGACAATCCTAAATCGTTCCAAAAATGTGTTTGTGGTGTTCAACACCGCGGATCAACGTGATTGTTGCGTCCTGACAACCATCGATCAAGCCAGGGCACCTTCCCTGAGACTTCAACCCTACGAGTATTTGAATATGTTGCAAACTTTTGAGACGAATATGCACGGCGCTAAGACAAGAGCCACAGTTTGAAAAGGAGTCGCCCTCAATCCTTGCAATTGCTGAGGCCTTTGAAAGCGAAAGTGCGTGGCACGGAGGCGAGAGAAACATTTTGAGAACTGCCCGCCATACCATCCCTGAAGCTCCTGCATGCGTTTAGGACGAATGTGCGCCGCCATAAGGCGAGAGTCAGATGTTGAAAACCATCCCTCCTTGTAACTGCGGCAGCGGTCAATATTCAGGATCGCAAGTGGGGGGGAAGTCTCGGGCGAAACCGCCAGCCCGCCCTACTGACACAACTGCGGGTGCGACAGGGATGATTTAGTTCCAGGAGGAGACGGGGGTTAGGAGGAGGAGGAGGAGCAGCAGGAGGAGAAAGAGGAGGAGGAGGAGGAGGAGGAGGAGGAAGGGGATGGGGATGTGGGTGAGGAGGAGGAGGAGGGGGTAGGAAGAGGAGGGAACAAGAAAGGGAAGGAGAAGGCGAGGGAGGAAGAGGAGGAGGAAGAGGAACGGGAGAAGGAGGAAGAGAAGGAGGGGGAAAGAGGGCGAGGGAGGGACCCAGAGAGGCAGGGGACGAGGGGACATGAGGAGAAACAGCAGCAGAAGGAGGAGGAGGAGGAGGAGGAGAACGACGACGACCACGACCACGACCACGACCACGACGACGACGACGACGAGGACGACGACGACGACGACGACGACGACGACGAGGCGGAGGAAGGGGAGCAGCAGGAGGCCGAGGATCAGAAACAGGAACGGGATGATGATGACGTGTTGCGATTCTGGGGGCCATGGAGCAGCCTCGCACGCTGGAGCAGGGTCGGCACTGCCGAGGGCGCCGCAGTCGGCCTGCACGCGCTTGCGATGCAGGACACGGCCCAGGGCCCTGTCCCACTGCGCGGGACCCCAGGCAGGCGGGTTGTTCCGCGAGAGGGCGGCGGAGGAGAGAGCACGCTGCCGCATCGAATGAATCAGCAAGGCAGCGAGCATGAGGAAGAAGGAAGAAGTAAGAAAGCATAAGGAGGCACGGGGGGGAGGAGGCGACCCACTCCCTTTCCTTTGGATTCCATGACGGCGGTGGATCGCATGAGTTCAATGCGGAAACACTGGACGACAGGCAGGGCCACCAAGCCCCGTTCACGGCCCAGTAAAGAGAACATGCGACGCGTGGAATTTCCAAGGGAGGCATTGAACTCTATGAGTCGCGGCTTCAATACGAGTTATCAAAGTTCGTATCGAATGGCAGAGGCTCTCCTGCATTCTATAAATCGTAAAAAGACGCCTGGTGCCCTTCCGTGCCCACCCCGTCCTGCTCACGGGGACTTCTCATTCTCGCCGTCCCGTATGGTGGGATGGGTAGTGAGCAGTCCGCCGCCCCTGACGATGCATTGACGGCGCCAGGTTGGTGGTGGTTCCATCGAAGCCGCTGAGGCCCATGAGTACTGCCTCTTCCGCCCCCGCCCCCCGCACAGCCAGCAGGCGAGCAGGCAGAGCAATCAGAAGGGAGAGGGAGGGACAAGGAGGGCGAGACCTGGCCTTCGGACTTGCAGCACGCACATTTCAACCTTGTGTAAACGTCACTGACACGAGAAAAAAAGAGAGAGAGAGAGAGAGAGAGAGGGAGGGAGGGGGAGGAGGGAGGAGGAGGAGGAGGAGGAGGAGGAGGAGGAGGAGGAGAAAGGCCCGCAGCCCGAGACGCTCTTCCCTCCTAGCCTACCGTGCCTCAGTTCGGCGCGCACGTCGCCGACGCCGCGAGAACAGTCCAGGAGGACAGAAGGAGGAGAGAAGGAGGAGGAGGAGGGGGAGGAGGAACAGCAAAAAGGAGGAAGGCACCATTCAATATTTCATCACATTCATAAGCGTCAGCAAACACATCAACATGTCTACCAGATGTCCCTTGAAACGTGTGGAAGCCCCCAGGGGCCACAGGAGGGGTCCACCAGAAGTAGGAGGAGGAGGAAGAGGAACACGAGGAGGAGGAGGAAGAGGGAAAGGATCAGGAGGAGGAGGAGGATCCGTAGCCATTTTGGCTCAAGCCCGTAGTGTTTTGGCACAGGACTCGACCTTTTGGCAAGGGGGATCAGCGGCCCCCACATGGTTTCCCACGCTGCCAGGTCAGACGAGGTTGTCTGTGAGCTCCTGCTGGAGCAGTGCCAACACGTCTCCGATTGTCCCATGAGTGTTTTCTTTCGTTGGGCGTGTGGCAGCCAAAAGTGTGGTTTTCAACAAAACTATGCGTCGTGCACAAATTGCTACACATGTGGGTGGAAGCTGGGGCTTCTGCCCGATATGTCCAAGGGTGGTCAGCAGGGGCAAGGGCAAGGTTCGCGTCAGCCTGGTGTTGGGCCCAGCGGTCCGCCCATGGAAAGAAACAGCCGCGCCATGCATTTCCCAGCTGCAGCCGCGAAGTGCATGCACGCATGGCGGAGGCAGACTTCGCGGAGCTCAGTGAAGGCTGGCCGAACAAGTTGCGTGCTAAGATCAAAGTGCAGCATTGCCTCGTCAACCATGAGCCGAAGGCCAGCGCCACAGCGACTCGGATTGAGCAGGACACGGCTTCGGATAAGCAGGCAAAGGCCTAATAGGAGCACGACAGCGCGCAGGAGGCGGCGGTCAAGACTGCGGCCAACGCAACGAAGTGCAACCCGGAGCTGGAGGAGGCGGCGCAGGCGGAGCGTGATGCAGCGGCGCGGGCGGCGGCCGCGCACGCCAGCATGGCGCCCGCCGCGGATCCGCTCGCGCAGTTCCAGCAACTCGTCGACGCGCTGGATAGTCCGAGCATCTCAGCAGATCGCCGAAGCGCTGGCAGTTGTCGCTCCTGCGCTGTGCGCAGCTATGCCTACTGACGCTCCTCAGCCTCCTGTCGGGCCTGAGCAGCCAGCTGGCGTGGCCGAGCAGGCAGCCACGCGGGTCGACCTCACTGGCGCCGTGGACGCCCCCGCTGCTGGCGGGCAGACCGAGCAGCAGCTTGCGGGCGCCAGGGCTGCGCAAAGGCGGGATAGGCAGTTGCGTGGAGAGCTCCTCGCAGATCTCGCCTCCGTCGGGAAAGCGGACAGCGAGCTGGCTGCAGAGCTCGGTCAGGAGCACGGCGTCAAGCATGGGCTCGCGGCAAGCATGTTCAACAACGCACGGCAGCCTGCTCTCAGCGCGCACCTCGCCGATGCTGGCGCAGTCGACGCAGCGATAGCAGATGGCCAGGCAGAGGCAGCAGCTCCAGCACGGGGGCACTAGCCCTTCGGCCCGGCAGATCATGGCCAAAAATGTCACGGGCATTGCCGGCATGGAAGCGGCAATTGGTCGCCCAGTCGCGCTTCGGTGCCAGGGGCGCGCCATTCTGGGGCATCATGTCAGTCAGTTTCAGCGCGCCGGTTGGGAAGCAACGCTTCGCAAGATTGGATGGCTCGCGCGCGCGGGGCCAGCCATCGAGACAGATCGCGGCGGCACCAGTGGGGGACTTCTCCAGGCGGCGCCAGCAACTCATGGCTTGTCAGCGGTTAAGACTTCGCCCACTGTCATAGTAGCGGGGAGCGCCACATTGCTCCATCCATCAGGCGCAGCGCCAGGAGGCTTTCTTCGGGTTCTGGCGGTGGGCAACTGGGGCCGCGCAACTGTTGCAACTGGTCTAGTTTGCAAGCAGTTGGTGCAGTCATCACACTAGCCGACACGCCGCTCGTTATCAATTGTGAGTTGCATAGGTCGCCATATAATACTCATGAGTTCAAAGTTGGTCGAAGTCATCGAGGCAGCAATAGTGGCACCAGCATTGCTCATGCGCAGCAATTCGTTAACTCTGAAAGCAGGGTGCTAGACCACTTCGTGGCATCGGCTGCCCTGCGTCATGGGTCGGAGGCGCGCGTCGTCGTGGATGCAGGCGCTGCGCCTCGCTACTCCATGGCGTTGTCGCTCAAGCTTGTTGGCAGGCGTGGCCTAAAGTATCGCATTGCCGGAGTTTCCAAACGGCCCACTGAGTTGCCCACCAGGTGCCGACGCGCGGAACTCGAGCAGCCGCGCGTCGACGCGGCCATTGCCATGGTGGCCGCGGGCGATGTCGACGTCGAGCGGCAGACTCAGCCATGGCAGCTGAGCAGGATTGGGCCGACGCGTGCGACGCAGCCCTGGGCGGGCAGCCGCAGTTTCGCGCCCCCCAGGCTCAGCGTGGAGGCGCTCTGGTGGAGGCCTGTAGCTCAGCGCTTCCAGGGCTCGCGGCGCCCCCAGGGCCCGCGCGCTCGGCTGCCCGCGCCGCGCCGAAGATGCGCCGTGGATCGAGTTGCTCAGCCTCATGTATTTTCTGTCGCAGAAACAGGCGCTCGCGCCCCGTCGCCGGCAGCCACCGCGCGCGCCGAGCGGACTCGGGGGCAAGCTGAGAAAAACAAGCGCGAAGGTTGGCAGTCTCGGGTCAAGCAACACAGCCACGTGGGAGGCGCTGCCTTGCACGCGCGCTCTAAGCCCCCAGCGCCGCGGAATTCCATTTGTTTCGGCTTCTCTGAGCGGGCAGAAGAGAAGGCCCAACTGACTACCCCGCAGCAGGAAGTAAATATTTTGGAGTCGGGGGCG